GAAACATGTAATACCTTTCCCACAGCAATACTGCTCAAAGCCTGATGACACAAACAGTCAGGACAATAAGGCCTACATTTATTTAGTAAATGCATTAGGCCTTCAGTCGGTGCTAAACGGTTTATTATACAAATCCAATAGAACCTGACCATACAGGACTAAGAATATTAATGTTGTATATGCAAGGTTTGCAGCTTTTGAAGATGTCATATTTGCAACAAAAGTCCTGGCCATATCTTGATAATTGCCTCTTTCCTCATGTCCTTTTAAGATCCTCTTTGAATGTTATAAGTTCGTTACGGAGATCGCTTTTGAGGTCTTTTATATCGCTACTGGTGCTAGCAAGCCCTGCTCTCAATGCTTCAGCTTGACCTTGCTTCTCCGCTGCGTCACGTTCAATTTCAGCGTGGTCAATGACTTCTTCCATTGTCGACCGTCCTTGAGTTTTAAGCTTTTCTCCGGCTTCGATGTCCACTCATCTCCTAGTTTATAAAATGTGTGCATATCGAGTTTGTCAAAGTCAGTGGGGTGATATTCACCGACTTGGGTGAGCTAAAAGCTAAGCGGCTAACCCGTCCGCCATCTTGCTGGAAGTCAATCCTTGCCTCTCGAGTGTGATCATTAATAAAGAGTCACCAGTTGAGCTATGTGCGCCACAGGACAAGACTTCAAACACTCCGATACCGCAAAGCATGTCACATTCTTTGTTGCATGCAATGACACTTACTTCCAACATGATTTAATGCTGTTTGGTAACATCATATTGTTTGCAGTGTGTGTGTGTGTGTGTGTGTGTGTGTGTGTGTGTGTGTGTGTGTGTGTGTGTGTGTGTAGGGGTAATGATGAATAAGGAGAACATAGGCCAGGAGAAAACTGTTTGATGAGGGTGTTGCACAGCTTTGCTCTGGGGGCTTTCCGCATGCATCTCGGTAAGGTCATGTGCACTGGCACTGTGGTTGTAGGTCACACATGCACGCACACACAAGTCCAACAAAGAGGTTATAAGCGGCGGGGAAGCACACATTTCCGATGTATGAACAGTTAAATGTTATTATATCACCAAAGGGAATGCGTTGAATAGAGTATTCATTAATGCAGGCAGACAGCATCTTTATCAGAAAGAGACACAGAGCTAGAAAGAGATGCAGCGAGAGATCTGACAAACATCTTGACCACATGACTCTAACCACTCCACTTCCTTTAGATGTTTCTATAGATTTTGTGTCCCGCACACACACACATACACACAACACTCCTCCCACATTGAGGCATTTTCCACACAGAGATGTTTTTCACTCTGACAGCCTGCCTCCTTTAAACTAAATAAAAAAAGAAATGAACAAGGTGAAAAGCTGCTGTAGTAAACCGTGTGAGCGGTGTGCAGATTATATATAAAACATGTGCTTTGCAATCACAAACCTTATATCAAAGAACACAATAATCCAGATCAAAAGTTAAAGCAGTAGTTGTGAAATGCACATACTGTGTGTAGTCTAATACTTCTGAGAGGTTGCACCTCTTTGAAGATGATGGCTATATTTAAAGTGCTTTGCTTGGAAATGTGTGGGTTTTAACTTGGATCCTTCTGTGACTCACTCTGTTCCCAACAAGAGTCATTACTGCAGACTTTGGCAGCACTGGTTTTATTCTCTTAATGAGTCTTAATCCCTCAAGTATGTTGTGCACGTGTGGTGTGTGAGGACTCGAAATTAATAAGCATCGTGCTATAAGAGTGTATGTATGCGAGTCTATGCACCCACCTACGACACCCATCTATGAAGATGTTCCACTCCCCAAGGTTTACCACAAAGTCAAATGACACATTTGAGTGATAAATCATCTATTTGTTGTGGTCACAGAAACTAGCATAAACATATATCCTGGTTTTCAGAAATCTAACCACACTGAGCAGTATTCTTGAGATTGGACATGTGTCAATGATCCACATTTCTGATCGCCAGGACTGCATATCTTTTCAGTTTATTTTGGTAAATCAAGGTCCTCCTACAACCCTGCAAATGAGAAAGCACCCAGGACATTGGACCATTTCATTGGAACCAACACGATGCCAAACAACCACAGATATAATTTCAACTGGAAGGCTGCCTGAATATCTTCTCAGGCTTTGTTCTCAACATTTTGGACAAAATTTCCCTCGGATCTCGTGGGCTGTGCACGACAAAGATCTGTTGTGACGCAAAATGAAAAGGAAGTGCTGGACAAGTTCAGGCAGGCCTGCAGATAGAAGCTTAAAAGCAGAACCTTTAAATGATCTAGTTTAATGAACCAAACAGGAGAACAGCAACTCTCACTCGCCACTATTCATCAAGTTCTGTCTGGTTGGTAGAAATGTGTTGCATGACATTCACATGTGTACATGTGGTGAACACACAGTACACAAGTGAGCATGAGCACCCACGCACACGTCTAGATCCATTATGACTCAGTCACTTCATGTGTAGCCTTCATGAAACTCAATCCCTGGAAAGAGAAATATGGTTTTGACTGACGAATTAATCTCTGCTCTAAATATGTGTATATGAGCAGAGGCTATCTGGAAGTCCGGCACGATGCCCAGACTGGTGGCTACTTCCATCAGGCCTCTGCCAAATTCAAATTGTTAGACCAAAATATGATGTTTAAATGTGACTAAAACAAAAGCAGCAGGCAGGAAGCAGGAGGTGTTACTGAAATTAATCAGAGTGGCAACAAACGATGATTTTCATTATCAATGAATTGGAATAAGCAATGTCTCCGGAAGAAGAAGGGCCGAAGAAAAAAAACTAAGATATAATCCAAGGTGATATTTCCGTATCCGACAAAGTATCAGTTCTGTGACATTACTCTTTTGGCATCATTTAAGTCCATGTGGAATGGGCATGACAAAATTAACAAATACAAAACTATGTGTGCAACTAGGGATCTTACTGTTCTTTAATGTTGAGACTTCTCACATGTGTTGGATAACTTAGCAACCTTAATTTACCTAAATATTAAACACCTAGCCACCTTAATCCCGCTGTATCTGTCCTCCTCTCTGCTGGTTGTCTACCTATCAGTCAGTCAGTCAGTCAGTCAGTAAGTCTCATGTCGCCGGCTGCTGCTGGGTTTCCTGTGTGTCTCTTGGTTGGTTTCATTCTGTTTCTGCTTCAGCACACTGGGTCCCATATGTTCTGAGCTTTAGTTGTGGTATGCAAGAGAGCCAAATTAACGCTGCATGTTGCCATATGAGAGACTGAAGTACAACAAGTAACACAGAACAGATGGACATCAGAGTCTGCTCGCTGGAAAAGTATTTTCCACTGATGTTGCAAACTCCTCTCTTACCGTCCCTGAGAGGAAAAGGAAAACACAGCAGAGATGCAAAGAAATACGTGTACAAAATAAAAATAGAGGGTATAGAAGAACATCATGCATTGTGACTTCTAATAACCTCAATTATGTTGATTTTCTAATAAGGCCCGTTACTGGAACGTTTTCTGTTTTCTTTTTACTGAAGGCTGAGATAAACGTTTCACATGATGCTGACAAAATAGAACAAACGAAGACCAAGCTTTCACCATACTATATGTCAACAACATATAGGAAAAAGTGTGAGAGAGCACGAACACATACAGATTGTGAAGGACAACTGCAACATGATACACAGGCACATGAACACACAAGCATGAAATAAAAAAATGTGGGACACACACACACACACACACACACACACACACACACACACACACACACACACACACACACACACACACTCCACTGCTGTGCAAGCATCCTTTAAGTATGACTCACTCAAACTAGTCGTTAACATTAAAAATAAATAAGAAAAATGTTTCCTTTTTTGGATGTTAAGGAAAAGTAAATACCAATGATGCAGAAGATCCCAATGCTAATCTCAAACTGTACTCCTCAACGGGGTTTAATGTAAGGAAGTACATGAGTAAAGAATTTACTCAAGTTTACTATCTGTTGGTAGTACTTCATTGAGCATAATTATACTTTATACTTTTACTCTAGTACATTTTGGAAGCAAATATTGAACTTTTTACTCAACTACATTTTTCTGACACCTTCAATAAATTGCTTTTCAGCATCAGATTATTTTCTAAAACAAATATATCGTCTAATAAATAAAAACTGAAACCTATGTATAGGTCAAGATATCTAGCAGCAGTAAAGTAATTAAAATGAGCTTCCGTTTACAAGCTGTGATGCTCATTGGTTAATACAAAATCTAAATTCAGTTATTTAAAATATATGATTCTGAAAAGGGCCATTGTGCTTAACAAGTACTTTCACTTTTAGTACTTTAGTTATATTTTGATGCCAAGGCTTTTGTTCTTTTTCTTAAGTAACATTTTGTATGCAGGACTTTCACTTGTCACTTTCACATAATATTTGTACAATGAGTATTGCTACTTATATGCAAGTAACAACTCAAAGTACTTCTATTCTACCACCACTCCTCCTCCTCTGGCTGGCTTCATCAGCCTAAAGTCCACCTCAACCAGGGCTACTAGAGGTGCGGCTATAGGGGAGACTGCACCATCCCATTTAGGAAAAGCGCATTCAGCCAGGCTGTCTTTTGATTCCACGCATCCCATCAATGGCGTTCAATACCACAGCCAATAAGAGAATCCTCATCCTACTACACATTCAAGCACAGTATTAAAAAGTGGCTCATTGCAAACCAACAGTGTCAGCACTGATGTGTGGGTGTGTGTGTATGAGTGCGTATTGTAAATGTTTTATTTATTTATTATCATGACTTGCTTTTATCTGTATTCAGTGATGTCATCTATTGTAAATATGTACAATGGTATAACAATGTTGTGGTATTTTTTATTATTGCTTTTAGGATGTCGATCACCATCTGGCAAAGGAACTATCGATGAAAACTAGCCTTTTGGCTAATTCGAGTACTTTTACATGTTTTTAATATGTTGATTAATGTACACTGTCCCTTGTTTTAAATAAATCAATAAAAAAAATGTTTTTACCTTTGGAGGATCATAGAGCTCCAACTGGTACCTCTCCCCTCCTCCTCTTCCTCTTCCTCCTCCTCCATCTTGAGCGTCCCTGATCCTCCTGACCAGCAGGCGGCAGCGTTGCCAGCGGTGCTGAGTGTCTGAGATAGTGTCGTCCACCAGCAGGTACCTCAGCTGGCCCGCCTTACAGCAGCCGCTCTCCGACCTCCTCTGCCTCAGGCTGCCAACGCGTAACCACGGGAAACGATCCAGGAAGTTAGAGCCCACTCCGGCCTTAGTCATGTGTGAAGAGACCAGCGGCGTGGCTTCAGAGTTCAGACAAGAGGAAGAGTGGGATGAGGAGGAGGACCCTTCCTCATTGGTAGAGGGAATCCCACTTACTCTGTCACCATTAATTGGGAGGCTGTTGGTGCTTGGGTTGCTAGGAGACTGGTCCAGGGATGGGGGGGTGCTGGTCTGTTTTTTGAGAAGCCGTCTCACTGTATGCCGGATTTGGCTGACAGAGAAATGTGTGACTTCAGCATGTGCAGGGTTGGAGGTTGAGATGTCAGAGGAGTACCGTTCTGATACCAGACGACGATCAGTGGCAGAGATCTCCTCACTGCTATGGCTACGAATGAGCAATGACCCGATGCTACGAGTCGACCCTCTGAGCGTCACCGGGTTACCTGATAACGAGTTTCCCGCGGCACATCGCAGCGGCTGCTCCTGTTCCCGACTCACCACCAGTGGCCCCACCTTTGGTGACACCACAGTGAAGAGAGCCGCTCCAACACTCGGCCGGCCCGCCTCTCGATAGTCCTGACAAGTCCTGGACAAGGATGTGATCCGACCAATCACACCTTGTGACGGAAGGGGAGTGGGCACTGGAGTGGTGTGGGGGACACTACCAGTACCAGTGGAGCATGTGTTCTGGCTGAGCGGAGTGCCATCTTTGTCGACCTCGCAGCAGAAGTGTTGCTGGAAGAGGTCGATGAACTGCTTGGAGAAGTTTTCTGGTGGGAGAACGTCATGTTGTGCTCGCTCTCTGGCGAAGCTCCGGTAGTGTCCAGCCAGCTGCCGGGCTGTGGCGATGGCGTGAAGCTCGCAGAATTCCCTCCAGACTCTGGGGGGCGCTGCCACGCCTGGGCCCTCTCCTGCTGTTGTGCTGGTGTTGGCTGGATGGATAGTGTTACCATTCATTGCAGTAACCAGACCGGCTGAGAATCACTGCTGCGAGACAAAGAAAGTCGAAAAGAGACAGAAAAAGATGGAAGGTGGGAAAAGAGGTGGGGGCCGAGGGGTTGATTTGGAGATATGTGGAAGGATGGAAAGTTTAGGAAAGAGGATTGAGGGACAAACAAAAGAGAGATATGGAAATGCAATTAGAGGCAAATCAAGATCATTTAAAGTAATGAACTGGAGTACTGAAGATGGAACTGGCCAAAAAAGTCAGAACTTGTCTTTGAACTACTTAAGACTTCCAAAAAGTTCAAATATTGAGAAAGGACAGCCAAAAGTTGGATTTTATCTGATTTCCATCTTAAACAGAACAAATTGGATTACATTGGCCTGCAAAGAATCTCTGGCAATCAACCAGTCATGGAGTATCTTAATAGATAAGGAAGGCCGCAGTTCACTCAAAGGACAACTGGTAACCGTTCAATTTGTGGGAAAACAGTCAATTCAATCAAGTGCAAAAACACTGTGCGTGCGTATATTAGAGAAAAACCCTAGGAAATCTGAAAGCCTGTAAGATGAAAGAAAGAATGAAGAGAGTCAAATGCAGTCAATACAAATGACTAAATCACTTCCAAATGTGACATGGATGCCAGAGAGTGAAGTGTTTGAAATGAATGAAAACAGTAATCAGTCATTGGGACAAACACTGAATGAGGCCCTGAGGAAGTACGGTTAGATCATTTCTCAATCCACCACACTGCCTGCTGGCCATCTGTGTGTTAAGGTGTTTACATGCGACATATTTCACTATTTCTTCTGCTTTTTTATTTAAAGCCTATTTCATGTCAGAACCATTACAGACCGCAATCGCTTAACACATGTTTTTTCTTCTCCTTCTGTCCCAAAACACCAATAACAATAATAATATAATGATCCAACATACTCGTTTTAACTCATGACCCATGAAAAAGGTAATTACTGCGCACAAAAGGTTTCTGATGTTAATTTAGAATTGTTCGCTGGAAGATTGTTCTTACTGCAAGCTGATTAAATGCTGAAAGTTCGATATGTCTCTGGTAAAAGTTGCTTTGAAGTCGTTTTTCGGTCCCTTTGGCATTCTTTTGAATATAAAAATATAAAAGGAAATCCAGAAATGACATTCAGCAAAGTTCCCAACTTCCTGGACTGAAATCCTGGACGCAGCGATTATAAAGTGGTCTTCTATTTTTCCAGGGGCTTTTTTTTGGGGGGGGGGGTTATTTTTCGCATGCATTGAGGAGGTTGTGCTTTGGTGGCCTATGACAGCTTGGCCTCTGCTTATTGTTATTCACTGTTCGGTGCTTCACTTGCTAATGCACTGTATGTTATTTGTACGTTTTATATCTTTGTAAAACCCTGTATGTTTGGCTTATCCTATTATGAACAACATATTAGCTACATACATTTTTCTTTTCTATTTTCAACAGTCTGCTCTTCTACATCGCATGTGTTCTTACCTATCCACCACGGTCAAATAACTGCTACATTTGATTTGAACCAAATGAGACAATGGTTAAGGAGTTAACCACAGGAATGAGGAAACAGGATGCATTCAACGAGAGCACTGCCCCTGTTCTTTATACAACACTGACCCCGAGTACGCTTAACAAATAGTTGCAGATTATTGGTAGGAGGAAGGACGAATATTAAAAGAACCACAAAAGGCCTTAGCTGATGCAACAGTCGAGCCTCTTGGTTTTTGCAAACAGCCCATGGATGATACAACGTTGTATAATCAGCCGCAGAGTTGCTGTTGATGAAGTAGATGGGCAGTCATGTAACAAAATATTGAATTTAAATACAGATCCATCAAGTTATTTGGTAAATAAATGTGTCCGATTAAAACTATAGCATGAAAAAGATACATCAGTTGCATAGAGAGGTTATTTCAACAAAAGCAGATGGTGGAATTTCTCACCATGAAAGAAATACTGGCAAGAGCACAGTGATGTCTGAAGCAGCAGAAGACGTTTGAAATACAAACGCATCACATACAAACTGAAAGTCATTACTATACTTCTGCTTCCACCCATGCTTTCTACAAATAAGCAACAGTTATAAAAAGTCAAACTAAGACCTCCGCTACAGTGATATTCAAATAGGTTATCATTCTACAAACCACAACATGTGGTACATTTACATACCATCTTCCTCCGATGCAGCATAGAAGGGTCTATTCTAAATACAGGTAGTGCGTGCGTGCAAGTGTGAGAGAGGGGAGGGGGTCAGAGACTGTGGTCTAACAGATCAGCGAAAACCACAAGAAACAGAAGAGAGACGGGGGGGGGGTCGTAGTAGGGCTAAACATGGAGTTACATGTCTTGTTATCTCGCGGCTCGCATCTCTCTCCCTCTCGGTGTCCTAAACGACGACATTCAGAGACGAAAAGTGGTGAATTCTTGAGATTGCAAAAAAGTCTGCGAATGTTTTCATCATCAAACATACCAGGGGGACACGTGCGTCAGGGAAGGAGTGAAAACTTTGTAACATGAAATATTGCATCACTGAAGTTCCTGGATATCATGTCCTGTCACAACAACCAATTCCCTTCCTGTAACTTTTCAGAGCATGCTCAGTGTGTGCCCCCTTGTGCCCCTCCAGCCTGACCCCCCCCCCCCCCCCCACCAGAAGCCAGTTTCTATCTGCCGGGCCAGCCCAGCGATGACTCAGCACTGACTCACTGACTACATAACATGCGTGCACACACACACTTCCTCCGGCTGTATCCCTCTGGGGGCTCGGCCGTCTTCGTTCCCATGGTTTTCCCTTTCTTTTCATCCTCTGTGTCCTCTGGTATGAGCATCTCCAGATGTGTTAGGATTCTTGTTGCCTTCACTTTCACCTTGACAGGGGGACTGACGGGGCCACGTTCAAGACGTGAGGGAAACCAAAAAGACGGTTGGGCATTTGTTCTTATCCTGGACCTCTTACCTCAACGCTCTTATCATCTCTTTGTTTTGCTAGACAGCGTTCAGCAGGAGAGGACAGAGAGAAACAAGCCAAATCAAACACAATGACTTTCAAATGGAAAACATTCCTGCACAAAAGAGTCCAAGTTCCTAAATCCCTAATTTCTTTCTCAACTTACTCATCACTTCTCCCCCTCCTCAATGTATCTCACCACCAATTCCCAACACACACACACACACACACACACACACACACACACACACACACACACACACACACACTTATAGAAACCGCCGTTTAAAACATCATAGTGACATCTACAATCCTTAGAAGTCTTTTGCCTACTACACAGCTGTACAAGCCCAACAGTCTAACATATTCTGCCTGGAAAGCAGATTTTGACTGACTGATATTTAAAGAGATATAGTACAAACTCTCTATCCTAACATCTGACATGAGGTCTACCAAATTTGAAGAAGCAACTCAAGCAAACAGCTTTTCAATATTGCCATCACTTTGAATTGAATATCTTTATGTGGGTAGGAATATTTTGGCAACTTTAATTTGTCACTTTGGGCTCTGAGAATCTCACTCTGCAATTTTCACAATTCTTTGACCATTAGTTAAAAAAACTAACCAGCCGATAAATCCAGGATAAAAAAGAATTGCTGTGGAGCGGATGTTAGGAGGTAGTCTCCTGGGCACCCTCCAAATGCTTGATAAAGACTATGATCCAAACGGTTCAAATAGTCAATTTAAGGCTGCAGCCACACGAGAACGATAACGGTCGTATCCGCTGCAGTTAGACGGTTTGGCCACAAGAGGCCGACAGGGAAACGCAGATAACGATAACGGGTCCCAAGGTGGGTAGATCTTGGGACGCAACGCTCTGGGGGGCCAAACGGCTCGGTGTTTACGCCCTATACGATCATTTCCTGTTAACGTTGAAGCAATAGCCCCGCCTCTCCCCACCTCTCCTGCTCAGAGATCAGCTGCTGGGCTGTCAGCAGAGGGGGAGGAAAAGAGAGGCTCCATTTATTATTCTTATATTATTATATAGAGTCGTTATCAATTTGTTTTAAAGCTCAATAAATAACAAAGAAGACCTCTGACCTCTAATTTTGTCTGGAAGATTTAAACTTTAACGGACATGTTGACCGGCGGAAAAAGAAATCTAACGGAAACTCTGCCGCACGGTCCCCTCGTCCCTTGGAAGAGGCGGAGAGGTGGGTGTTTTTCATCTGCTTGTGAATTACAGCAGGAGCACACGCTTGCCTCGGGGAGGGAGAAAAAGAGCCAGAGCCATCCAACCCGCGGAGAATAAACACGACAGGGCAACGCATGGCAATCCATGCGCGGGCGAAGTCTTCTTCGCTGCTTTTGGTGTAATTTTGTGGCATGAAGACAGCCCACACTTACAGGCCCGGCATATGTAACTACAGCGGTCTCCAGCGGGTCGAGCCGGTCCTCGTGTGGAAGGACACGTTTCTGTGGCCATTGCAATGTGGACAATACTTTTTTGATAACGATTTCGGTTCGTTTTCCATTACCGTTCTCGTGTGGCTCCCATCTAAGTCCTGAACCCCAGGGTACATTTCGGGATACAATACATCACATTGGGTGTAGTGGCAGCTCTTACTGTACCTCACAACCCTCTGCTCCTGACACCAAAAGGGTGGACTAAACTCCTTTTTTAAAACTGGGCAACAGCCCTAAGCTGACTTTTAATCAAGCGGAAGGAAAACAGGATGCGGAAAGACACACGTGGAATTGATCTGTCAGCGTGAGTAACCTCAATGACTAGCGTCAGCCCACTGAGTGGTTCTAAACGAAACCCTGAAGGATTCTCTGGACACATTGGGGGCTGAATGGTGTGTTGCAGCGGTAAATGTTTTTTTCCAGCTTTAATCACACAAATTAAGAGTTGCAGCTTGACTGAGGCTGCCCAGTAAACAGTATCCTGCTACTATGGCCTATTGCGAGCAGACCAACATTCTATTGCTTGAACCCACCATTTGACATACACACTGCAAGCTTAAGACCAATCAAAACACTTCGCATTTAACAACTTAAGAATTCCTTGAAAACAAAATTAGAGGACAGGGCATTGTGTGTGTGCAAACGCAAGGCAATTCAAGTCTACAAAGACAGGAGGCCTACACACACTGGAGAATATCAGTGCTGCTGGTGGAAGCCTTGGTTCCAGGGAGGTCCTATTTATATCTCTGAGAGCTTGGTATCAAAAAAAAAAATTCTCGCGCACACACACCACTTCGCTGTGGTTCTCTCTCTCTCTCTCTCAGCACACACACACACAGCACCACACACACACCACCACACACACACACACACACCACACACACACACACAACACACACAAACACACAACACACACACACCAGCACACACACAACACACACACACACAACACACACACCAACACACACACAANCAAAGTTGAGGAAGCTTATGAGGTAACTGGTGTGTGGCGTAGTGGTTCAAACCCCTCTGCAGTCAGCATGTCGTTGTGTCCCAGGGCAAGACACTTCACCCCAAATTGCTCCTGTGGGGATTGCGCACAGTATTGAGTATGTAAGTCGCTTTGGATAAAAGCGTCTAACAAGTAACATGTAATGTGACTCCAAAATGTAAGGAAAACTGCTCATTAAGATACAGAAAAGTAGGTTGATGATTAAATAATCTAAAATAACAGAGCAGGACGGGGATATTGTTTTATTATGTGTCCCAGTGTAAGGTTGATCTCATGGAGACACATGTAGCACAACTTTAAAGGCAGAGACAAGATAGACACTTTAAGGTTAAGGTCTGAGGCCGCAATAAAGACTTCTGCTTGTTTCAGCTGACATAACAAGATTCACTTCTGCAATAACACAACAGTTATACAGCCTTGGCTATTAGCTCATTCCATCTACAAAAAAAACTCAATCTAAACCCTGCTTATATAACTGGCAGTTTATTAAGCAATTAAGAACAACACATTGTTATTATAGGCAGAGCGGAGCAGCAGAAGTGTTGGATTTAATCCGTTCGCCTGCTTGTTGAAAAGCTTGAATCTCCAATTTGCCCTGAATATCCCCTCCAGGGATCGATGAATGCTTCTTATCTTATCTTAGTAATGTTCCCAGCAAAACAAATGGATCACATGCGTGAGTGCAACAAGTAGATTGTCACGGGGAAGAAATGTTACATCTTTTTTCATCTAATAACAAATTCGATTAGGATGACTTTAATGTACTCAAATTCACTTTATTGGTGCTAAATATACGAATGTTTGAATGATACAATCCTGCTGGAACATTACTATGTGTAGCGTTTTTTTGAAGGGTTTAACTAGTATTGCTGTCTACAGACTATTAGTATTTTCACAGCAAATAAAGAAGCATGAAAGAGATCATGTCCTCATTAATTAAAGCTGTAACCTCAAGAAGTTTGATTTTGTTAAATAGTTGTTTTGTTTGAACCACAACTGTAATGCTATCTTTGCAGTCGTTTGTCAGTAGTTTACTCAATTTCTCTTCAAATAGCTTGATTTTTTTTATTCCAATGATGGATGACAGACTAGAATCCTGGAAAGACAAATCCAGTCATTCACACGAGGCCAAAAGATGAAAAGATATAATAAGTGGAAGCAGAAAATCTGAATCTAAGTGTGTTTACGTTTCTTTCAGTTGCTTGTTGTTTGGTGGGGTCTTAAAAAGGTACCAGGCGTGGTTTCACTCGATAGCTTAAAGCTGCGTTTAGGCTGACATTAGCTCTGCATAAAAAGCCTCGCTCCACTTTTACCCTGACAGGGCGCCGCGCCTTGACTGGAGCTTTCTCACGCGAATACATTATCAGTTTCCATGCAGCTTCCTTTTTAGTGCGAAATGAGCTCACTGATATTACGGCTGTTTCTCGCACAGAAAGATGTACATAAAAATACATATGAACACTTCCCATTGATTAGAATCTACTGTGCAGCCGCGAAATGTGTGCGGGCCGCATGCTCAAGCGTGGTCCCAACGAAGACGTGTGAAAACCTCATTTGCATTCACAAAAAAGCAACTGTACATGCACACTGTCAGTGTATTACCCAGCAACCCCAACATAGTGCAATGTGCATTTGAATAACTTCTTTTTAGGGTGAAAAGCATGTGCTTTTTTTCTTGTGTATGTTAAGATGTGTGCATGAAAGGCCACCACTCTCCTTCCTTTTAAGGCCATTCTCAAGGCTTAAACTCTCTGCCAAGCACACACACACAGCAACGCAGTTGGTAAACTAAAGCAGCATTGCAATCAGCCATGAAAATCATGGCAATGCCTTTCCAAGCTTACCAAATATGCATGCACGCACACACACGCAGACACATGTGCATGCACACACACTGGCTCTATCATCAACTCAATTACCTCACGCACATGGTCAGGGCTGCAGCTGGCTGAAGAGTTGAGGGCTGCTAAATATAAAACTCTACAAGCACACAAAGGCATGCAACATCTTTTACACACACACACACACACACACCAAAGAGACTGAAT